CAGCTCATGGTGGCAGCAGAGAGCATTGTGGGAGTTTAGCAGCAACGGGACCATGACAGAGACTCTGAGGAGGTTCAGGACCTCCGGACAGAGTTTAGGTGGTCATGTATCTGCACAGCAGGCCACAGTTTAATTCCCTTTATTGTCACTACAGAGGTGGATGATGGTAAAAAAGTGAAATGTATGAGACTGAAGGTTTATTTTATCAAAAACAATCTTTTTAAAGGTTTAATCTGCTTTGGAGTAAACAAGTGGTCGTCCAGTTATACGACCTAAAAACGTTCACTGAAAGCTTACAGCTGTGGTCAGTCTGATATCAGCTGTTCAGTCATACATTCATGATGCTGCAGCTTCTTCTGCTGCTCTTCAGGTAAAACTGACGGCGATGATGATGCCGATCAGGTGAAACAAGCCCTGATTGGCCCAATACTGATCTGTGGGATCAATCAGAACGTCCCTGATGGAGATTAACGCGGCTCATTTCAATATATGGCTGAGAAGCTACAGCATTAATAATTATGGAGGTTAAACCGACTAATTTGGAAAAAATATACATGAAAACCCAACAAGTCCCCGATGAGCCGGCGTGTGAAGTTATTCATGTTATTGTCGTTTTTCTAATGGTGGATGATAACAGACGATGCGTGCTGAATCTGCAGCGAGAGGAAACCACATTAACCATTAAACACAGCACCGCTCAGTGATAATTAACCCTGACGACGAGCCCGAGGCGACGGCAGGAAGGGAGGTCAAGATGGAGGAAGGCTGAGGATGGAGCCGGAGGAGGCTGGACTGACAGGAATAAAAAGCTGCAGCGCTCCACTCAGGAGACTCTCATTTTCCATGAACCCATTTGTGAGTCAATGGCCATCTGTGTTTTACATTCTGCACTGATTTAGCCCATAGCGGCGCTACAATAGGTGAGCCGGAGCCTGCGCTGCCTGCCAGGCGAGCCACAGGGCGCAGAGAAAACAGCAGCGAGACGAAAACAGGAGTACAATCAGCCTCAAAGAGCTGCGTTCAACAGACTCGGGCCAATTAGAGGCGTGAGTGACAGCTCAGAGGTGAGAGGAGACGCTGGGTTCATTCCTCGGCGGTCTGGAGGCACCAACACGTCCAAACACGCACTCACATCTGCAGCAAAATCGCACGAATGCAAAGTGTACAGTCGCACAAAGCATCCAGCCGCCATCTGTGCCAACAGCGCTGCTCCGTCCTTGGCTTTAATTGATATCTGAAAGCCCAGTACGGCTCCCAGTGTTCTTCACGTTACCTTAGCAACAGAGCAAGGACAACCTCAAAAATTAAAGAGCAGCGATGAAGCCTTTGGGGGAAACACACGACCCGAACACGAAGCAGCAGCAAACACCCGCACTGGAGAACCGCTTCCTGCGTCCTTAACGAAGCAGGAAGCGTTTAGAGATGGAGCCTAAACGCGCGGCGTGGCCCGAGGACGAGGACCGAGTCCAGTCCTGGTTCCTGCGACTCCTCGTCTTCTGGCTCCGAGACCGTCGGGATGGTCGAGGGTCAAACGTGCTCCTCGCTCAATTAAAAACGTTAACGACGGCAGCGATTAGCCGGACGGACGTCGTCGTGTCGATGTTCTGCTGAACTCGGTGACACAGATTTCACAGTTTCTTTAGCTCCCAGATAAACAAATTCACTGGATATTTCCCAACAGACGGAACCAACAAACAAACAGAGAGGGAACGAGGCAGAGTTCATTTATTGAGCAAATGCGAACAAGAGCAGAACAAACATTCAGCCGCTCTCTGACAGCAGCTCTCACGGCGTCTAGTAGCCTTCATTAGCAGCAGCGCCGTTCGCCGGATGAAACAACAATACGATCCCATTTCCTCCGTCCAATCAGGTCGAGAAAAACACTGCGAGGAGCAGCAGAACCAACGGCTCGGCTCCGGCGAGTCCGACTCCGACTCATT